TGAGAGAGAGAGAGAGAGAGAGAGAGAGAGAGAGATGTCTAAAATCACCTCTAATTGAAAAACCTCTATAACTACTCCCAAAAGAGTTTAAAGAGTTATTTATAGCGATATTTATATTCGTAAAAGTGATTCAATTGCCAAATATTCTCAGTGAACAACATCTCAGTTACATCCCTGTGCTCTCACACGATCCGCACCCACACCATAGGCACATGTAGCTCACAGAGACTACTGTATTATTGTATACACGAAAAAAATTCTGGCATTTGTGGGACAGATGTGTCGAACATATACTTACATTTACTGTAGTTATTAATACACAATTAAATGCACAGTTAGTCGTTTCGGATACCAGTGCCGTGTATTTAGTAGTAATATGTTTGGTACATAAAAAAGTGTCACAAATAATCGTTCAATGATTTTCAAAGTGAAACCTGACTTTACATTAATTTCGTGAAAAGTTATTATACTTTTACTCTCACTTATACCTCATTTTATGTGTTAAATACCTATTAGTTATAATTACATTGAATTTTGTGTGTGTGTTGTGTGTTAAGCAATAAATCATACGACAAAAAAATAAACATTGATTTTAAAAATAAATTCTGGTGACAATAATATAAATAATACTTAATATAATAGTGTAATATAATTAAATGTTAATTTAAATTACAACACAAATACTGAACAAAATTATAAATTATATTAAAAAATATTTGCCAAATAAACTACATTATAATAAACTTCAAGAATATTCTGTATAATAATAATAATAACCTCTCAAAATCTGACCACATACAGTTAATAACAAAAATCAATACTAATCGTAAAAATAATAAATAAATAAATAATTACTGTTAAAATAAATCTCAAGAATATTCTGGTAATATAATAAAACACATAATAATAATAATAATAACAATAATCAGCAAAATTCGGTCACAATTAACACAACTATTACAACCAATTAATATCTACTAAACTTCACGGACATGGCTGACTCAACCCGACCTGCTAGCCCCACCCGGCACACCTTAAACCTCAAACACGACTCGGACATCACGCTATTCGTGAAGGCCGGGGTCGACAACATCCGGTACGGCGCCTGTCCTTTCTGTCACCGCATATTCATGCTATTGATAATCAAAGGCCAACTCCGGTCAGACCTACGATTCCGTGTCATAACCGTCAACCCCGTGAAAGCGCCGGTAGAGTTCCGCAACCAATCGCTACGGCGAGTGCCAGCGCTCGTGGACGGGGAGGTCGCCAGCGATAACATCGACGACATTCTCCAATACCTGGAGGACTACTACCCGACCCCCGCCCTAGACTACGAGAACCGGGAGGCCGTGGAGGCCTGTAATAACTTGTTTCAGAAGTTTTGTTTCTATATTAAGGATGTGTCCAAAGACGGGCACAGTTTGATGAACGAGTTGTGCAAACTGGACGCATACCTGGCCGGCACCGGCTGGGGCTACCTGTGCGGCAAACACGTTAGCCAACTGGACATCGAGGTGTGGCCTAAGTTGCATAATATACGTGTGGCGGCCAGGTATCTCAAGGATTTTGTGATACCCGCCCAGTTTAAGCAGGTTTGGCGGTATATGAGGGCCGGCTATGGGTGCGAGGCTTTCGTCGAGTCCTGTCCCTCGGATCAGGAGATTATCAGGCATTGGGCCGACAAACCCGATACCGTCAACCTTACCATCAAACAAAACGCTCAGTTAGCTAAACAGGAACCGGNGGGTGCGAGGCTTTCGTCGAGTCCTGTCCCTCGGATCAGGAGATTATCAGGCATTGGGCCGACAAACCCGATACCGTCAACCTTACCATCAAACAAAACGCTCAGTTAGCTAAACAGGAACCGGTCTATAGCTTTGATATACCCATGTGATAGAGGCTGTTATTTATGTAAGCTAGGTGCTATATTAATTTATGTGCGATTTGTTTATTTATAAGTATGTGTACAAGTATATATAACTGTTTTAACATTACAGTATGTTCATGTTATAGTTTTAAACTAGTTAATGATTTTGTTTTTGTGCATATAATGTATTTATTGTTTATAATAATTATTTAATATAGTCTGCTCAATAGCATTAGAAATAATAGTGTTGTTTTTAATACTCAAAACACCGGTGTACCCTGGTAATTATCAGTTACTAAAAATTATAAAGTTTATAATTATCGTAAACTAACTGGTAAATATGAATTTTTGTGATTTTGTTTGTGTTTATTATGATGTTAATAAAATTGTATATTTAATATATAATATAGTTAACCTTAATTATAGTGTCATATATTGTGTAAAAATTTATTAATAAATTTTGTTGTTAATGTAATAAAAATGTTTATATTAAATTAATATACTGTATATCGGTCTCATTGAAAGTGTTAGATACTGTATAACAGAATAAACAGATTTATTACCAAAACGTTATATTATTATTATATTATATTTTATTATATTTGCTTACATTACATAATGTTTGCGATATTATTAAAATGCCATTATTATATACTATGGTAAGAATTGAACAAAAATATATCAAGGCTGATACAATATGTTTAAAACAATCAAGTACAACATTGTTAATGTATTACAACTCATTTACTAGTAGATATTAAATTGTCTGGACTATTGATAAAATAAAAATAAAAACAAAATTAAAATACCCTAGTTTCATTTGTCATACAGGTACATTATTATAATAATTTAAAAACAATAAGATAAATTAATTGTAATAATTATATAGTGGATACTCATAAATTAATTGTACCGCGATTAAAGTGAAAAATACTAAATTTCTTATGCCATATACAGTAATGTTTAGTGTTTTATATTATTTCCTTTAAATAATCAAAACATAATAAAATGTTTACGGTGATCTTAACGTATTGTTAAAATTAAATTTCCAAGTAATACTAAACATGCCCTAGATTACTATCTGTATGTAGTTTCTAGGTAACTTGTTGTCATTTTATTATACAGTATACTTTATTTGAACCCATATTTAAGGTGACAATAAACTAATTTATGACCATAAATAGGTAGAGGGTGTATGAAAAATAATGAATCATTCACATTTTTATCTACTACATAGTAGTAGATATATACTAGTACAATATATTACTGAAACATAACAATTAATTAATTTACGCTGTTTAATTGATTTTATATGCAATATAGTCAATTAAATAAATTAATTGTTTATTTAAAATAAAATTCTTTATGAATTTTTTACCCCAATAATTATGAGCTAGTACAGTATAATACAAGCATATAATGGTTTAATTTTCTGAATTAGTATTGAAAGTTATAAATAGACATGTTTATTTTTATTTAATTTAACCCATTTTAATAAACACAATTGTAAAACAATTTACATATGGCTAAAATTTTAATATACTGAAAATACATTTAATTAAGTTTAAAATAACATGACATTAATATTAGAGTAAATTATACCTAGTTGGTAAAATAATATTTAAGAAAGCATTTCATTGCCAAATAGGAAATAACACGTATTGAACCCAGGAAATATATTTAATATTTAATTTCTCATAAAATTTTTATGAATTCCAGATTTAGATAATAAATATTTATTTAGTGTTAAAATATAACTAATGATAATTAACAGTAAATAATAATAAAATTCTTATGAAATTTATTCTCTATACAATATAACATAAGCTATAATTACTTTCATAATAAGTATTTTGAAATCCAAATATTATTTATAATTTTATTATCAGAAAAATGTGCGAAAAACTTTTTAAAACAATAATATTTTCAAAATATTTTTCAATTAAAAATATTTTTCTTGTAAACATTTTCGGGAATTTTCTCAATCTTACCGTTTATTATACAATAAATATTTGCGATAAGTATACAAAAAAAACCAGAATTTAATACATTATTTATCACTAAAAAATACAGTCAATACAAGTTAACTAAAGTGTAAAAATTAATATCAAGAATATTCTGTACCTAATTACTATGAAAACACTATTATAATAATAATTTAATGAAACACCATGCGTACATTAGGTACGGTATGGTACTGTACAGTAAATAAATTAGTTTTACAAATAATAGGCTCATTAATTCATTAATTAATTTAACACAAATAGTGTACTCATCATATTTAGTACAATGTAGATATAACTACTGATAACCAGACGTTTTGACGTTTAGCTACATTTTTATGAATAACTCATAAAAACATGATTACATGACAAAATGTTTTCAAATATTATACACAAGTATATAAGTATATGCTTAGTGTCTATAATGTCGTTTTAATTTCATTGTGTGTTTAATTGTTTTGAAGTGAAAGTAAAATATAATTATTATAGACAGACAAAAAACTTTTCAAATGTATAAACAGTGGTTGAAAACATTCACCTAAACCATTTTGCTTGATAATAATTACAAATCAGCTATTGATATAAAATTTATATATAAAAAGTATTTTTGAAACCAATATTAATAAAATTAATTAAATCTAAAAAAGTTTATAAAGTTTTAACATAGCTATCAAAAAGTTGTCATAATAACTAGCTAACTTGTTCTAGCTAACTAGCTAAGTATTTTGTTTAACACATAGCTTGGCGTTTAAAATAACTT